TTTCATAAGTTTTGAGAAATTCATTTTGAAATGAAATATTTTTGTGTTTGGCATTTAAAAGAAGGGCAATGTCTATTTTTTACCCAAATCTTTTTCGGATCCTTTTATTTTAACCAAACCTATAGAAATTCTATTTATTATCCAAACGTATTATAATTTATCAAAGTCTGGGTATTCATTATGTTACCGTTACTTATTTCGTCCACGTGAGGGGTGGGATTTTGTTTTGTTTTTTGATAATCTTTTTATTAAAAATAGTAAATGATGGTATTCTGACCGCCATGTAGGAAGTCAACACATTATGGTCATACTTAGTCAGCATTACTAACAGAAAAGTTGACGGAGAGTTAACGTTTGGATAATTTTTAGGAATTATATAGGTTTGGTTAAAATAAAAGAATCTAAAAAAGGTTTGAGTAAAAAATAGACATTACCCTTAAAAGAATTTATTTTCAATTCTAAATTTTGAATTATATGGAATTGGAACTAGTTATAGCAATTCTGAAGAATTGAGATGGAATTTCCAAATGAATTCCACAAGTATTTACTAATTATAATATAATTATATAATTATTCTATTTTATTAATTACATTACTTATACATATGACATACCAAACACATGAATTCATTTGAAAATTAATTCTTTACGAAAATTAATTCTATTTCTAAAGATTTAGATATAAAATACCAAACACAAGATTTTTACCAAAAAAAATCTTAGTTTAGATAATACTTTTCACCCATTTTATTTATTAAAACGGTAAATATGTAGTCGGCAGCAAATATTGCAAAAATTATTATCTAAACTAAGATTTTTTTTTTGGGTAGTAATCTAATCTGTAGCGGATTGAAGAATGATATCCATTTGATCTAATTTCTTGGAGAAAAAAACAGATAATATTGCACCGCAAGAAAAGAGGAGATAAGGACTATATACTCTACGCTGATATATCCACATGTATTATCCAAATCTAAATATACGAAGTACTAACGAGTAATTTTTAGCGAATACAAACGGCTGTGGATAGGGTAATTAGCCCTAGTTTTTTTAAACGACTCCTATTGTAACATTAAGAAACTTTTCAAAAACAAATGTCAGCTTAGAGCTTCAACCCGCACGAATGTTGCCTTAGGATTATGGCTGGAAATTTGGTATCGGTATTTGGGATATACCAAATACCGTATCAAATTTGTCTATATTTGGTATTACCGACATGTATTATTTTTTGGGATTGGGATTGAGATTCAATTTCAATTGTTATTCGGTACTAGAGATTATGGGATTGAGATCGGTATATACCAAAATACCGAACAATACCGAAATATAAGCTAGTGTGTAGATTATCCTCTCAACTAGACCCTCTCATTCACTACTACACTACTCTCAACCACCAATCTATTGTTATTTTCATAACACCAAAAAGCAAACACTAGTATTAGTCTTCTCTCAGCCTCCAATTCGTCAAATTAAAGATTACCAATGACAAAAACTTGAGATATCACCTCTACTCGATTCTCCTTATCTATATCTTAGCTCTAGTCAAACTCAAAACTCTTTGTTTAGTTTATTTGTCCTATATTAAACAATCAAATCTAATTTATATATTAATTATTAATTATAAATGTAATTAATTTTGTATTCGATAATACCGATTGGGATACCGAAGTACCGATTGGGATACCAAAATATTTAGGGATTGAGGTTGGGATACCGAAATTATTTAGGGATTAAGATTGATTCTAGGGTGTAATTCGGTATTCGGGATTTCGGTATTTGGTATTGGGATACCGATACCGTACCGATTTCCACCCCTACTCGGGATGCATATTAAAATGACTGCTCGTAAGGTCACCCATCTTTGTAGTGCTACACAACGAGCACGTTTAACTTCGGAATTTCACAAGAACTTTTCCATTTCACCCCAAAACGCATCTTGTCAGTTAAGGTCGATTTATTACTTATGAACCATGGATCTCTCCCACGCTTTGTCGATGTGGGATTTCGCCTAAGGTGTTACACTTATTTTTTTCGTTCTAACTTGGATTTCAATTTTTTTTGCACAAGTGGAATGAGCTTGTTGTGCTCTACAAAAAGATCCATTTTCAATATATTTCGAGAATGTTTTTTTATGCCACTCATACCACTCGTTACCACCTCCATACCATATGGTATCTTCTTCGTTTTAAGTCGATTTTGAAATTTTTTGCATAGAAGGAACGAGTTCATCATGATCTATTGGATCTACAAATTTCCGAAGGAAAAAATACAGGACCAAAAACTACCACCCCATACCATTCTGGTATAGTGGTGGTATCTTGTGGTACACAATGTTGAAAGTTGTAAATAATAGTTAATATATTCCTACTATCATGTATTCAACAATTCTGTAGTCTGGTATGTTCATACCACCATGATACACTTTCATACCACGAGTGATATGTTTTTATGTAATACCAAACAATAACACCATGATATAGACTGGTACTAAATGTCTCAAAAAAATGTATTCCAAAAATATATCAAAGTGGATATCATTCTGAAGAGCACAAATTAATCAGATTTATCTGTGCAAAAAATAAATAAATTATGACTTAAAACGAAAGAGATATTACCAAAAAATTCAGTAATGGTTTCGGTTTTTTATATGGAACCCGAAAATCTGAAAACTTTGTGTAGTTACTAATTATTCTTGCGGGGAAGGGCGTCCCCATCTAAACATGAGCCCGAAACCCAAAACCGAACCCGAAAACCCGAACCTGTTACAAGCGCACCCAAAAATCCAAACCCAAAAAGACTCTTCAGCGGTTCGATTTCGATTTAACCCAAAAACCCTTAAACCGAATAGGCACTCCTACTTACGAGTGATTTAATATCTATAAATTTTAGACATTTGAAAATATCTTAACCTAAATCATACTCTTAAAATAAATAAAAGACATAATTTTCTCAGTGTTTCTAAAACCATGATGTGCAGGCGGTTCTACTGTAAATATACCCTACCGGTATGTGATATTTAACAATATGAAATGTTTAAACCATAATTTCAATCTTTGAGTTTATATAAAATCTATAGATTCTATGAATCCATACTCCAAATCTCATTCACCAAACAAAACATATGTGTTCACATATTGTAGACATGTCAAGCACTTATCCTGTACATAGTAGCGAGAACGATTCCCGTGAAATTCCCACCCACCCCCCCCCTCCATTGTTGATCTAGTAGATTACAACGAACTCGTTCCTTCTGTGCATAAGTTTTCAAAACTCGAGTAAAATGAAGGTGGTATCAAGTGATATAATGTGGTACCAGTGTGGTAACTAATGGTATGAAAAACATTTTCCTCGAAATATATTGAAAATGAATATTATTTTGTAGATCACAATGAACCCGTACCATATATGTAAACAAAATATTGAAATCCAAATTATAACGACGTGACTATCTATCTAGATCATGATGGCATAAATTTGGCCGGTTGACATAGTGTTGTTGTCGACAGAAAGCTGATAAACTCAGCGCGGTTGGCCAGGGCGAGGAAGGAGGCTTCGGATTCCTCTTTACCTTTGAAGCTTTGCCTCTGATCTACGGATCCAACATGTAACGAGCTGGTCTGTCTTTCTTCTTCAATGTCTCAGATCATAAGAACACAAAGGATAAAAGGAAATGCTGATAAGTTTCCGAAACTCAACTTCTCTTTGTTAAACTACCACCGCCTTCTCTTCTCCGATTTATCTAGCAAATAATCACAATAAACCAACGAGTTTTGGTACTACAACATCATCCTTTGATGTCTAGCCGACTAGCCCAACACGTTTCCAGGCGATTGTCTCACAATTTCATCAACTTCTCACAAAGGCATTTCAAGTGGTAAATGTTTCCATGGGCGGTTGAGAAGATGATGAAAAAAATATTTTAGATCATCAGCCAAGGGTGCGCAACAATCCGGTACAAACTAAGACCAAATCAATGAGAACTACAATTCAACAGTATAAGAAATCCTAGAACTAAAAGACCATACTATCATAGTATTTAATCCGCGACCTGATCCTGTTCAAATATCAATTCAATCCATTTTTTCAAACCACATTATATTCGATCCACTATAATCTGATCTCAAAGCCAACCAAACCATTGTACACCCCCTGACTATTGTACTTCCATCATGAGGGAGTGGAGCACCTAGATGCTAAAGACTATCCTGAGAAAGGCAGGACAGGATAGGAGCAGATGAGTATATGGAAGAAACGAACGGTAATGGAAGGCTATATTAAGGAGTACTGGAGTAGGACTGGAAAACGGTGCGGTCTGGTACAGATCAGATCATATATACGGTCTATGGTACAGATCAAGAGACTGAAGTATAGACCACAGACCAGACCACAGACCAGACCACAGACTATATGGTGCGGTCCAGACCAAGCCAATACGGTGCGGTCCAGTCTGGTCTGGTCCAGATAGACCGTACTCAACGAGCAATGAATAATTTGTTTAGTCAATCACACAAAAAATTGAACCAATAACTAAGAAAAATAATTGTTATTTGCCTTAAAACATTAATCCTAACATGCATGAATAATTTTGATGCCCTAAATCTTAGTACATAACAAAGGTACAAAGTAAAAGCATCCCAACTTGCACCATTTTGTCATAAACATTAACATAATGTCATATGGAGACACGATTATCTCTATTCTCTGGTTAAATGTGGTTGTGAATGAAGCAGGGACGAGATTCACAAAACTAAGGTTGAGACTTGGGTGTGGTTGTGAGAGTTGGAAGAGTGGTCGAATGGGTTGTTAATACGTATTGACAAGTCGATTGGGTCCACGGTTTGGTCCGGTACCAGACTAGACAAAGAGATCAAAACATAAAATAATACAAACCATGGACCAGACCATACTTAATGGTCTACAATCCGAACCAAACTGTACGGTACGGTTTGGACCACAGTTTTTCTAACGGTCTGGTCTATTTTCCCAGCCTATTAAAGAGGAAGGTGAAATGTTTTTAAGGGGAAGGCAACAAACCAAACAACAACGACCAACGCAAGAAACAATACCAATGACGCGTTAAAAACCACACCAAAGAGAGAATGAACAAAGATCTACATCGACCAACATACAATAATCTTGCCCGCTTCCTCGCTTCAATTTTGGAATCCATGGTGATATTTTGGCCATGAACACAGAGTACTTGTACTGACCTGCTTCTTCCACTCCTGTCAGTCCTAATGACAACGGACAAACATGACTTACCCAGACACTGGATATTGTATAAAATTATCCGAGTTTCGGAATCACAAACTTTCTTGGGTACACTATACACAATCGATCGTCTGCATATACAAGTAACTATTTAGCTCCGCATTACTCGTTGAGAGAAAATTGGAAGGCCTTACATTTGATACAAAAACAACAACAACAATAAGATCTGGTCATGCATGCAGCACAGTTTCTGTAAATCAACAGATACCAAGATGAACATCAACAATATTCCCACATCACTGTACATCATCCCAGTTCTGGCTTTCAAAGGATAGAACACGAGCACACAATTTTCTTGGGAGTTTTGTCAATCTTCTTTTCTGGCAAAAAGCGAAAAAACCCAAGAGAAGGAAGAAAGAAAAGAATGATGTTTTCAAGCTCTGTATTTGTTTCAATTCTTCATAATATTTGAAAACTTGCAGAGGTGAGTAAGAGAATTGTTTCCTTTTTTTTTTACCTGTTTTGGTTTTTGCTAATGACTGCTGTACAACCACATGCATTATGATGGCACCTCCAGCCGCATCACCAAATGGCATTTTACACTGAGCAACAGTCCTGCTATTATCTAACACTTTACCAGAGCTTATCAGCTTAACTTCATTGATTGCCTTTGGAGTTATTTCCTTGCCTAGTAATAAAGCAGCAAATGCAAAAGGTTATTCAGGAATTTTACGAATTTTTTTTGAAGCAAAAGGATGTCTTTAAACATCTATCTTACTTGTGAACCAAAACATTGTAAGGTAAGAATTGACAACAATTGGAGAGAACGGATCACAATGACGAGGAACTGAACATTATCATACTGAATTCCAGAACAACACCCTTAACCTCCACAGTTGTTCTAGAGGCCAACAACCAAGTTCAAATTGGGATACTAAATCCATGAGGCATCAACAAACAAACCACGTCCAAGGTAGAATAATACAATTCCCCCAACGCCAGCCAAACCCGACATTCCGTTTTGTATCTCATACCAGCAATACACAAAAGGGTCTATGGAACCATTCATACAAACAGCACTGAAGGCTCAACTGAAACAACACACAGTACATGTCAATTGATCAAATCCCAAATATAACCGAGGAAAACTACACAATGCCCTATTCCGCAGTCAACCAAAACCCACTAAGAAGAAATAAATGATTCAACTAAAGAAGCAATCCAGCACCCAAAAGGATGATCATAAGCCAACCTAAGAGTCTCATCTTCATGAGTCATGACATACGGTTCAAAACAATATCACAATAGGAAGCTTTTCTCCCTCTATCTAATATTAGCCTTCACAATAACACCATTCATGTCTCCTTGTCCAGATTAGCAACAATCATACTGACTAAAATTAGCAATCTGGTTTTGAAGGACTCCTACCAAACACACCATTTTTAGCTTTCTTCAGCTCAGCAAAAGAACCCCCCCTAAGACCTCCCAACCGAGCAAGCTTCATTCTATAAATTCAAAATATTCGTAACTTGAGGAGAAGAAAAATGGTTTGAGATAAACAGACCTTTGGGCCAATCCGACACAATTCGCTGCTTGAGCATGTCGACCGTCGAAGCCGCCGAGTAGCGGAAGGGGCCGAGGTCGGACCCATCGTAGAGCCTGAATTTCACGTCGACCAAATCCTCCTCCGGCATCTGAGCAATCGATTTCTCCTCTGCTCTCTAGCAACCGACGAAAACCATAATCCGCCGGCTCTCGTCAGCAAGTTTGCAACAGATCCGAACCCAAGAATTACCGATTCGCCGATCTCGATCGCCCAACAGGGGAAAGAATCTAACCTCTTAAAGATGATGTTGCTTGGGATCAAAGTGAAACGAGGATGAGAGATCTTCTTAGGCGGCCGTCTCTCGCTCGAGGAACAGGATGATGAAACTTGAAAGGTACGCGTCGTGGGTAGGAAAAGGAATCGTTTGGTCAGAAAAGAGGGAGCAGCTGCATTCTGTTGCTGGGCTGGCTACTGGTCGAAAAGCAGAGAAGAAAACTTGTTTGGGCTTTTCTACCAAAAAATTATTCTTTGGGCTTCGGTATAGCTTTTAAAGAGAGTAGGTAGGCCCAGCCCAAGAGAAGCCTCTTGAATTCATTTCGTTTCACAGTGGCGACGGCGGAAGTGGACGATGTTGAAGAAGCGGAAGAGGGACGAAGAAGGAGGAGCTAAGGAGAAGGAGATGGAGATCGTGTGGCAAACGCCGGCGAATCTGCCGGAAAAGCACGATTACATCTTTCGAAACGGTGAGACCTAATTTTCCTTCCCTCCCGATCAATTTGAGCCCCTCGCTGGCTCGAAGACGCTGCTGCCTGCAATGTGACAGTTTCAGGCCTTTTTGTTTTTTGTTTTTAGGGAGACGCCATGTAAAGCCTTACTACTTCGAGTTCATCTGTCATGTGGGTTGTCTTCTTTTTCTGCTATCCCCGGCTGTTTCGCATTCCATAATCTCCAAGCTTTGAACGTCAAAACTGGGTTTCGTTATGTATGCAAAAACCCTCTTTAGGGTTTATTAAACCCGAAGTTGGAATCGCTAAACTTGGGTTGTTTACAGGTCAAGAGTCGTTGGGCGGGGAAGACAATAGTTGATTTGTTCGCTGATGATTTCAGAGGCCGGCCTTATGATTACTACGTAATGCTATGTGGACTGCTAGTTATGTGTTCCATTTCCATCTCTTTAGCATGTGGGTTTCATTTGTTGGTTCTGGAATGTATTTTAATATTGCTGAAGTGTCAAACTTATGCTCGACGATGCGTATGATTTGCTGTAGGTTAGTGCTGTCAAATGTGGACGGATAAAGGTGGAGGGAGAAATGGTTCCAGTTTCTTACATAGTGAAGAATTCCCAGAAGATAAGCCACTTTGTACACAGGTCTGGACAAATGTACTTAAACTACTGTTCATGCTTCTCTGTTTCTGGTGGTGCAACATCTTTGGTGTTTCCCTGATTCTCGGTTTTGCTTGAAGCCATAGTCAATCCTGCTCTGTGCCGTTTAGCAACCTCTTGATTCTTGTTGCAAAAATTTGCAGGCATGAACCGCCAGTCATGGCATGCAATGTTACCGTCCTGCAAGAAGAGCCCGATGTTGTCACCGTCTGTAAACCAGCAACTGTGCCTGTAAGTACGGTCTCATTCACTGTATTATTCCTAAGGTGTCCTTGCAACTTATTTTTCTAATTTTCACTGCCCATCAACGAGTTTGGTCACTATTATGTACCATTGACAACCATCTGGTTGTCTTTTTTTGTTGATGGGCTAGCTTAATTAAATAGTATATCTGCTGCTGATGCAGGTCCACCCTTGCGGTCAGTACCGTAAGAACACTGTCGTTGGCATTCTTGAGGCTGAACATGGTTTAGGACCTTTATTTCGTATCCAAAGCTGACATTCTTTTAGTACCTGTCAAATCTGTGTGATAACTTGTTCAGTGGGTTGTCAAATATCCGATTTTAAGTTAATGTTGGTTATTCTTACTTTTGGCAATGTCCAATAGCCCCCATTTCGTCGAATAATCTCTGTTTGAATAAGCAACTTTTGGTTAGTTTTCCTTGACATAATTACCTCAGCTGTTCATCGACTGGATCGGCTGGTCTCAGGACTACTGATCTTGGCCAGAAATGCTTCAAAGGCTGACCTTTTCAGACAAGAAGTAAGTTTCTTCTCTTACGCCCACTTTAAAATTGAGTTTTTTGTTTTTGAAAAGAAGAAAAAGAAGAGAAGAAAAAGAAATTGTGGGAATTGTGTGGGTTGACTTTTATGATTTGTTCTCATATATGCCATCTATTGGATACTACTCTAATATCAAGTAATCCATTTGTGAGCTGTGCCTGAATTATTTAAAGATTTACAGTTTGGCTTTTTAATTTTCTGTGCTGCGGTGTCAAGCCAAACAACCTTCCTTATTATGTATGCCTTTTGTATGTCAAAGTGAAGGAACATGTTTATGCATTTGTTGAGTTTAGGAAGCACATAATGCATGTTATAGGTGAGCTTTGTAGACTTAGACTTACTATACTCTCCATGCTAATGGTACTGAAATATTTCCTGGGGGCTACTATTATCCAAACCGCTTTTCTGTGCATGAGGTCTAAGTTTCCTTTACATAATGTGATCACTGTGGTTCCGAATCACGAGTTATATGAAAAAATGACCAGATCCTTTTACCATGCTTGTGTGGTCCTTGTTGCAGATCGAAGCTGGATTGGTGCAAAAACAGTATGTAGCAAAGGTTGTTGGCGTGTTCCCTGAAGACGAGGTAAGCTGTTGTTTGAAACAAGTCTCAGTGTTCTTTTTGGGATTCTTAATTATGTAGTCTAAGAATGTATGATCTTCTTGATTGTTTAAAAAAGTGGAGTGCTTGAAATGAGAGTAGAAAAGCTTTCTTCAAATTTTCTTAGTTCATTTATGACAAATTCCACATGCTCTGCATATAAAAAATGGAAGTCAAACAGTTCGACGTTTGCTGTTAAAATAAATCCGACATGTCATTCTCACTTTTCTTCTGTATAGCTTGTCAGCCGATATTATTCCAGGTCTTATGCGAGAAGTTATGATTTTGTCCCTTACCTTGTATTTTTTTAAAGGAATTAATATCTTACCTGTTTGTGCATCTTTCTTCATAAATGTTTCAGCAAGTTGTTGATGTCAATGTAAATTTTAATGCTCGAGAAGGAAGGAGCACAGTAGAGGTGAGTGTTTATTCATCTTTGACATAGTAGGATGAATTGCATAAGCAAATTTCAAATGCTGCTAAGTTGTTCAAATGTAGGTTGGTGAGTTGTGTGGAAAATCTCCTGTCAAAGGAAAGGCTGCTTGTACTAAGTTCACTCTCATTAGTACCAATGGGACTCATAGCATTGTATTATGCAAACCTGTCACAGGCCGAACTCATCAGGCAAGCAAAAGTCACTGCTGAAGTAACATTCATTCATTCCATTTTAAGTTATAAGTAGGCTCGCTACTGTAGTGAAGATAAACCTAGTTAGATAAGTCTGAACATGTTCCCGACTTTTTGAAGATAGTAGTTTTTGCCACTAATAAAAAGAGAAAAACAGTGGACAACTCCTTTGTCAGTTCTTGCTGATATTCTCCCTACTTCAGTGAATATCTTCCTTTTGTGGACAATCAGACCTTTTCTACTTTGCTGGAGATAGAGTACTTGAATTGATATTGCTTTAATGCTTGATCCCAACAAGCTGCACCTCAATACATTAAATATGTTCGGCTTAATGTTTTCCAGCTTCATGTAGGGGAGGCATTGAGTTACTGGTTGATTTAAATTGGTCTGTGTATTTTTGGCTGGGCTTAATCAGTTCGATGGTTGGTGGGTTGCTGGCATTTTCTTGACAGTTTGATGTGGTTTGGAGGGTATTCTGCTCATATGTTAGGTCTAGAACTGTTGAGTAAAGTTTTAGTAGTTTGGGTGTTAGGTTGCGAAAGAAGGTGTCATGGTATGAGTTTCCAGTACCTGGACTGAATTGGCAGAGAGTAACCTTAGGATTTAAATTCTGGACCTGAAAAGTGCGAAATTAAATGTTTAGTTCCTAAAAGCGTGGTTTTTTTCTCCAAATACCCTCAACCCACCAATCGATGAATTTGCATTACATGAATTTTGGTTTGATGGACTTTTAAGTGGATGGGTTGATGGGTTTGGGGTTTGGGGTTATATGTGAAGTAAAAGAGGAAAAGGTCGCCACTTCTAGTAGGTTATGCTAGCATCTAACCTTCTTTGAACATGAAAAGTTTCATGAACACTTCTTTGAACCTGCGTTTAACCGACTTTCATTCTCATTGTAGATACGAGTTCATTTGAAACATACTGGTCACCCTATTGCAAATGACTATCTGTACCTGTCTGAGCATGAGACTAGCTGGTGGCCAGAAGGAATGAGTGCTGACCGAGCTGCTGCTCGTCGTTCCGGTTTTCTGGCATCTGAAGATAATGGTGCCACTAATTGTGAATCAATCTGCAAAGAAGATTTTGACGTTGATCCAATGTGTACCAACTGTCCAGATTTGACTCCCAAAGGGTACGTGGATTTTCTTCTCAGTGTACGATGTTTCTTCTTTGCATACAGTAGTGCAGGTTTATTTATCCCCATAACTGTTTCGTGAGAGTTTCTAGTATCCTGTGGCCGCAGTTCATTCATGCTCCCTGTTGTGATTGTTTCATGAGTTTCAATGGCTTCATAGCCCATATATGAAGCAAGCCATGTGTATATAAGGCTAGATGCTGCAAACTGAAATCTCAAGCTAAACCTTCTGGGGACGTTGACTTATTGGATTACATACTAACTGTATATTTATTTAGCACTAGATTAGTGATTTTTGAATAGGCAGACGTTGTTTCCTCCAAAGACATGTCATTTCAATTTACTTAATGATTACTTTCACTGAATTCGTCCTGTCTGATTCCTTTTCTTTTTTCCATTGACATGCTTTGTGGTTTTTGGCAGATATGATGGGGATGAAGACGCCCTGTGGCTTCACTGCGTCGAGTATTCTGGGCCTGAATGGATGTATCAGTGCCCATATCCAGACTGGGCTGTTCTAACTTGAGCTAATGGGCTGAAAAGCTAGTTAGTTTCATACATAATCATTTGCCAAATGCCCAATGCAACATCCCGTTACGTAGGTGCTGGGCCGTGCTTGCCTTCCTCGTCGTTCCAAATCCTATACTTACGGGTAGTTTGCTTCCTGGATTTGAAAAATGAGGGTTTTGGTAAAACTTGGGTTTTGAAAAACCATGGATATATAATGGATTTGGTGGCATTATAGATTTGATCAAGTCTATTGTTTGCTTGTTGGATTTGATTATAGATTTTGTTTGAATAGATTTGTGGATATGAAATTCAAATTACCTTGTTACTCTTATCTTATCTAATTACATTTCTATATTATAATCCATAAATTTTATTAAAAAAATCCAACGCATACAATGAAATTTTAAACTCTTTACCACTATGTGGACTAATAATTTAACTACAAATATAGAAATGTATTATAGTTTGGCACTAATTAACAACTCATCTAATAATGTACGCAATATTATGTATCAATTGCAACCAATTGCTCGCTTTATTGCTACAACTCATCAACTTCTTGCTAACTCTCCGATTTTGGAATCCGACAATCAATCAAATAATAATGCACAAGACGAGCATAAGATGTTTATAGTTGAATCTAACAAATCACATATACATTCATATATAAATAAACCATGATATTACAAAACGAAATGAAAAATTATCATATATATAAAATACGACATTATAAAAGTTTATAATTGCATGACCATTGAATTAAAGTAGGACAACTTTGTAATTAAAGTAATAAGGGTAGAAAGGTAATTTACCATCATGGATTTTAATCCATCACCCAAATCCCACCTCAAGAGGTGGAACTTCCAAATCCGTGGACCCCACGGATTTGGAACCCCAAAAATGGCGGGACCCACAAATTCCATCTCTCTAATTTCCTAAGGCAAACGATGGATTTCCGTTAAAGTCCATGATGGATAGATTTCCATGACCAAATCCATCACCAAAACCATCAAGCAAACTACCCGTTAATTGCTTATTCAATCATCATATCCCTTGAATCTTAGGGATACTTTGCATTCTATGATACTTCATAGCACCTTTTGGTCACTTCTCATTCAAACTGTTAACATTGCTTGTCTTCTTGGTGTCTTGTCATACGAGATAGGGCAATGCCACTAGTTTTGAAACTAGAGGTCTCAGATTCAAAATCTTAAGTAGTAACTAACCATCCAAAGTAAAACCTATATCACCCTTAATGGCAATACCACTAGTCAGGAATTCATGGATTTTATGTATTAAAATTAGGATAAATATTGTGTTTTGTTTTGCTAGACTTTCCTGCAGGTTTGAATGTAATTTTGTGCTCAGTTCTAGCTCAATCTTGAGCTATAATGAACATTATATGCGTTGAACTCGATTTTGGTCTCGTTAGGCTTATTTGGCGAGCCGAACTCGAACTTTCATTTTCATAAACAAACCGAGCTCGAACTTGCATATTAAAGCTCGTGACGAGCTCAAGTCGAGCGCGAGCTATGGCAAAGTTCGCCTAAGCTTGGCTCATTAATAGCCCTACTCCCAAGGTATCTAAACTTGAAGATCCTTGTCCAAAATCTCGATCCTTCACTAGACTCAAGCCACAAAAGTCTGTACTTTTGCCTTCACAGCAATCAGTCGTTCAAAGCAAGCTACCGAAGCTCAAAGCTTAAAGACTCCTGCACGAGAATTCATCATCAAGCTCCTTTCCCACCATGACCATCTAGTAGAATTCTCCATCTTCCTTCTGCGGTTCTGGAATGCCTGTGGTTGGAGAAACCACTCCGTTCTCTTCAAGGCACCTGTCAGAATCGGTATCATCCTTTGACTCATCGTCTAGCTTAGCATCGACTTCTTCAGAATTCGAACTCTGTTGCACCGGAGAACTCGAATTCCATATCTGTTCAACCATGGTTTGAAGCATAGCTCCCACCTGAGCCATCTGTGTTGCAAGCTGTTTCATGGCGTCTGCAAGGTTTGTCTCCATGGTTTGCTCTTTGCGGTCTTCTTCTCGTTGCCACTGATTTGAACTAGAAATACACAAACCAAAAATCCAAGATATCTGTGTGTTCTTTGCTCTCTTTTTTTTCTTCTTCTTTCAACTCACGTTCAACTTTGTTGCTGATGAACCATTTTTTCCACTTTTTTCTTCTTCTCGTGAATAGTGACTAAAATCACAATTTTTTTGCCCATTTTTCGGGAAAATACGCCTTTACAATAATCAAAGAAAACAAAATTACAGGGACTGAAAATAAAATTCCGATGAGTGTGAACCGGGGCTTTGATAGCACATGATAAGATTCCGAGCTGGTGAAAGCCTATGTTCTTTTGATCAAAGTCTCGCAGTCACAATCATTTTAGGATTTTCTGAATGTTCTCTTAACAACACAAAAAGCAAAGAATATGGTGGAATTGACGTGCAATCTCACACCCGGGAGAAGGCTCGAACAATATAAGGGTAGAAGCTCCACCACAGTCAAGGAGAATACTTGATTGATATAGAGAGAACACTTAACGCGATTGGAGTCCACCAACGATGAGAGAAAAATTCACAATCATCACGCTCAACGAACCAAAGCATTTTTCAAATAATCTTTCAAACCAGAGTTTACAACCCTTTAAATAGGTCTGGAAAATAAAACTAATAAAAGTACAGAAAAGGAAAAAGAATCATAAACAGAAAAATGAAGTTTAACTCTTCAGGGCCAAATCTCCCGTCTCAATTCCCCAGTCGGGGATTTAACAACACTAGTTGGGGGTTCAGACTCAGACTTCTGGACCAATTCTCCAGTCGCCACTTCGGATCCCCGGTCGGGGACCTGCTCCTTGCATGGTCGGGCATTCTCTTCTCCATTGTGGCCCGGGAATCACATCAAACCTACTAGATGTATTTTTATATACTTGGACGAATAAAACCCGTTGAGTAATATTTTTTTAATAGATTGATTTTGTGGTTTGTGTTTAAAAATCATTGATTGGGGTTTGATCTATTAGAGCTTATGATATAGCATAATTCTCCAAAATTGGGTTAATTCGTGGCCTAAATAGTGGAAATCACTAGACGTATGTTATTATATGCATAGTGAGTTTTGCTATTTACACCTAGAATTAATCGTTGTTTGGAGCATGGTATTGTATACCAAATTTTACTGGGTGAACACTAGACCCTAATTTCTAAACTCAAATCATAAGACCAATTTAATAAAAAAAAAAAACAATGACTGGTAATTCTGATTTATCAAAGTATAGAGCATATATTTTTTTCATTTAGAGCATGGTATAAAGCATTTAGAGGTGACAATTTATAATCCAATCCATCTACTTAAATATCCAACTAATCCAATCCATTTGATCCAAATGGAAAATTACAGTTTGGTACCTGTACTTTTTATATTTTACTTGGTACCTAAAATTTATTTATTTTATACGAAGAATGTCATTGGAAAATTACGTTTTGGTTTCTAAATTTTTATCATGACATTTTAGTATGTATACATTTCAAAATTTATATATTGGTCCACGACTTTGATGTCATTTTGATCCATGGATCAATCCACCAATCCAAAAGATCCAATCCATGAATACACTAATCTTATTAATTCAATCCATTTAATCTATGAATCCACCCATTCAATCTACCAATCCATGAATCCGATCAATTTTGCCACCTCTAAATGCATCAAGTGTCGAGTTATACGAAGATAAAGCTAGGAATTCTCCGATGGCCATTTGCCCGCCTTGTCGGCCAAAGTGGATCGGTCCCAACGTTTTGGCCTTTTTTGTTTTGGTAATATGATAACTGCCACATGTAAAATCCTTGTTTAATTTCATTTCATCAATCATTTCATATTTTACTCAAATATATTTATTTATGTGATTGACGTGTGTTAATGCCAGTATTTTATTTGTGCTTTTTTGCAACTTTATATCGTGATATTATTTCACCTCACTTTGTTGTTTGTAATATCCCCCCCTCCATTGCTGCAAAAGCATAAAGCTCTGCAGGGAAGGGAAGGGATTGGTTTGTTGCCATAGAGAAAAAAACAAATTAAAGAACCATTTCTTTTCTCTGTGCAAAACTGTTAGGAACGACTTTATCAGTATTATTACTAACTAATTCAATTTTTTAATTTGAACTTTTGATAGCGGATTATGATTAATTACAAAAGGTTCCCAGGACAGCAAGGCCCCCCTCTTATCCAATTTGGGGGGAATCGTCAGTTCGTCACTATAAATCCAACAGTTAGAAAAGCCACAAGCATTTTCATTAATCAAATGGGCAAAAAAAAAAAAAAAACCATAATTCCTGATCACTTCCTCTCTATCCTGGTGCATTATATCATACTTTTTAATATATAATCTACGTTATCATCATGAGTAGTGGCGGAGTCAGATATTTAAGATATTTTTTCTTGAATTATTATTCTATTTTTCAAATTTATACGTGTTTTTTTTTTTTTTTATAATTCTAGTTTGTAAAGTTGGCTTACCATTAGCTAGCTCTCCCACCGATGATATGATAGTATAAATTCCCGCTAAATATCCTTCACTCGCTAATTATTCAGATTCAATGTCATTAACAAATTTTGTATCTATTCATAAAGATGCAGAGCCTTTTATTGGAGGAGCCACAATCTACTCTTATCTTATCTAACTATGGGACAAATGTCTCTAATAAAGAAAAAAAAAAAAATGTACCTGTCCTCATATATCTCCTTCATCATCTTCTGGGCATAAAAGGGGAAAAAAACCTTCCATCTTTCTTTATAAAAGAGAAGGCACTCAATTATTAACATATATATATATATATATATATGGTGGCAACTTCGGTGCACTCACTTTTTTGGGTGCATTCAGTGCACCCACCTCTAAAAGTGGTCATAATACATCAAATTTTGAAATTTAATGGGTAACATTAGTCTCATATGATGATATAACACAGAATCACAACTAATCAACTCATTACCCTAACCTATTAACATTCAATTTTGAATCTAAACCCAAAATCCCAAATTGTAAACCCTAACCCTAACCCTAAATTCCTAAACCCCGAATCATTCAAATTAAAGTGAATCTTGAATGATTTTTGTACAAATTCATGTGGTTCTTGTTCATCATACTACAAGGGATGATTGACATCGTTTTCACATGAATCGCCTGCTCAGAATGACGATTATGAGGCGGGTGCATTGAATGCACCCAAAAAAGTGGGTGCACCGAAGACATAACCATATATATATATATATATATAGGCTTTATTTTAGTGCAGAGGAAAAAACAAGAATTACTATCCATTATATTGGAACATGTATGTATGTACATCACAAAACCCCACTGGGTTTCCTGACTATGGGGGAATCTAAATTAAATAATTATGCAAACATTAAAAATTAGTTGTTGATAGGAAAGACCCTCTTTGTAGAATGTCAGCAAGCATCAGAGGAAAGAACCAGTTGCATAACCCAATGTTTTTTTTTCTCTTAGGAAAATCAGATTATTTATATTTATACGATAATATTCATTTTCAATTACGAGGAGTTCGTTTTGAGATAGGAAATCCCGACCCCGATGAACAGTCGCAACTCGCAAGCCTACGAGAGCGGTTTAATCGGGGGCTCACAAGCCTCAGTAGACTTAGCAAAAATTACGTATCCACCTATCCAGTTAACTGTCAAATGTGAACCCGTCAGCACGAGGAAAATCTTGGTTGACCGGGCTTGTAAGGCGGCCATGTAAAACCCTCCGGGGACGAGTATAGGAAGGATCGTACATAGTTTTGTGATGACATTTAGAAATATTGTCATTCATAAGGCCTTTTGACTGACATTTAGAAATATTTCTCATACAAAATTTTGAACTAATTATTATGTGGAACATGGTCATAATGATCAATACCTTCTAAACTGACATTGACACAAGTGGAATCGGAGTTCACCGAAACACAATATTATTGAGCCATGCCACTATTGACTTGGATACAGTGTGAAATATATTGCTAACTAAATTTATTGAAAAGACCCAAATCAAATTTCATGAAATATCACTTTGTACCTATCTGGTTTAGGTTTCCTAGTGAATTTCAGGCATGCAACTACTGCTCTTTCTTGAGGTAGAGGCACGAAATTAGAAGCAAGATTCAACCTTTAGAGTCTTTAG